GGAATACGCTGGGACCAAGCCTGGCTTGAATCAGAGGCACGGGTATTGAAATCGGCTCTGATTCTCTCAATGTTTGTATACAAACGAATCTCAAGACCATCGCGTTGAGAGAAACACGGGTATGGAAGCTCTGATTCTCTCAATGTTTGTATACAAACGAATCTCAAGACCATCGCGTTGAGAGAAACACCCATGCTACTTGGAGTGAGTGGACGCAGCATGCATCTTGGACCGCGGCATCTGGGCGAACAACTCGTAAGTTCTCAACCACCACGTGAACCTCTAATCGGCGTGCATGCTAGAAGATCGCGCACACTGTCTTCAAATTGCGGTCCATGAATCTCACAGGTAGGAGAGCGTGATGATTAAAACCACGACATGTGTGCTCGGAGGTCCTGGAAATGAGCATGGAGTGGATAGAAACATATCCCTCCCATAAAATTTATCACTTCAGGGACGTCTCCAACTGCTCTGAACATCAAAGCTCTACCGCGTTTGCTCCGAATCTGACATAACCAACCCTACTCGCCCATAAAATACTGACCGGAGTCACAACGAGCAAAAGTGGAGATGGGGATGAAATACTTCAAATTGGCAGCAAATGACGAGTTTTGTTTCAGAAATGTGGTCTATTCTGAAACTAAGTATACTCATTGGTTTTTATAGAGTTCAGTTGCAGGGGATAGGTTGGATGGGAGCAAGTAGCTAACACGTAGGGCGACCTGAGCTACGTATACGGATTTTAGTCTTATGGACGAGGCGAGCCGGATTTGTAGGAGAAAAACCAGGCTAGCCATGTTTGAGCGAAAATTCATTGGGCACGAAGGAGCTCGTCCAAGAGACGGGACCGAGTGAAAAATTTGCTCAAAGTTGCGACTCCAGGCCTGCGTGGGTGGGGGTTTGCGGTCAATGTTCTGAAGAAAATAGTCGGGGGAGTGTCATCCTACTGTGAATGGGGTGCCATGCCATCATTGCAATGATGGCATAGACAGCATAGACAGCCCTGTAATGGTCGTCAAGGGTGCCGCGGTCGGACAAGCTGTACGCAGTTCCGTGGCGGCTGGTTCTGGGTGAGACGGAGATTGATACAGAGAGTTAGGTAGTGCAGACTCATGGATAATTTCCCTTTCATTGAGGGGCCGTGTTAGTGTAGACCGAGAAAAAGCCAGTCTGAATGAATAACAGTTCCAATGGGCGTTTGGGCAACTGCAGTAGAAGATAGAAGCTTGGGAAAAAAGCAACGAGAAAGAAATGAAATGAAATCGGTAGCGTGTGGCGAGTGTCAGGAGGTATAAAATGCAAAGGTCAATAGAGAAAACCTAAAAGGGAATGACAGCAGGCTAAATGGACTCAGGGAAGGTGGATATGTTTGCTGATCTAGAAACCAAGTAATACGTGGGCCAGAGTAAGTGCCTAGTTTTAGGAAGGTCAGAACTTTGTCGTCGAAGTAGCTAGCAGGAAAGCTAGCTGTTGGACCATTTGAGAAAGGGCGGTAGTAATTTGCTCACCAAAGCATCATCGCATAGGGTATTTGTTATGCACATAGGGGAGTTAATGTGAGCAGTGACGGTAGACAAGTGAGCGAAAGATGCGGTCGCAGGAAATGAACGCCCGCATAAGAGATAAACAAGAACACTTGGGGGTGGTTGCAGCACTTGTGAGTTAATGCTAACGGTTCCAGGCTGGTGAGTTTAATTGCTAGGACCTAGTAAAAGGACAGTCGGGGTAAATACGCAGATTAGAATAGCTTGGAGCATATTTCAAAAGTGCCACGTGTGAGCTGGGGCGCGGAAAGGCGCTTAGCTCCTTTGATAGAAATATAAGAATCGATGGCCTTTCGAAAGCCTACGTGATGAAGCGCAGCCAGACGAAGAATCGAGCTAGTGGAATGTGGTGGGGCATGTAAAATCACCCGGAAATAAGCGGCGGATTTGCCCGACAAGCATAAAACCAAACAGAGTCTGAAGTGTCCGCCAGGAGTGGATCGTCAATAATAGAGACTGCTATTCCAGCATCAGAGTGCATGAGGCAGCTAGGTCCACGGCGGTAGGAACGATCAAAACGAAGGATAGTGTGTCCCGAAAGGGAGACGAGGCCCTCAGGCGTACTCAATTAAAATTTACAATACTCCATGTCCATTCGGGATGCCCAATCAAGCCTCTGCTCTAATGCTAACTTGCACTCGGCCCCGCGTAATCTACCAGCAGAATATACCTGGGATGTGCTCGCTCGCAAGTTCTCAACCACCACGTGAACCTCTTATCGGCGTGCATGCTAGAAGATCGCGCACACTGTCTTCAAATTGCGGTCCATGAATCTCACAGGTAGGAGAGCGTGATGATTAAAACCACGACATGTGTGCTCGGAGGTCCTGGAAATGAGCATGGAGTGGATAGAAACATATCCCTCCCATAAAATTTATCACTTCAGGGACGTCTCCAACTGCTCTGAATACCAAATCTCCGCCGCGCTTGCTCCGAATCTGACATAGCCAACCCTACCCGCCCATAAAATACGTAGTTCGCCAATGCATGCCCGTACTATATCCCGCACCTCTAGGTAACTTACCATCTTGCAACATTCCATACCCATTCAGGATGCCCCATCAAGCCTCTCCTCTAATACGGAGGGAACATAGCAGCTTACGAATTAAGAGTTTCGGTATTCCACAAAGTTAGCAGGGTCAAACGCAGGAGTCTCGTCAGCGGCCACAATATTTGGAACTGCAGATGAATTTTAGGGGCAACGCCTGTGATGGAGGCGCCCCAGCATCTCAGGTTGTAGAAAATGGGCTACGACGGTTGATTCATCGCGCTTTTAAAGGGCGCGTTTGCTCGCGGTACTATCAGTCATAATTTTGTTAATTACAATGTGCAGGGGGAGATCATGGGATCCATGGAAGAGCCTACGATACTTCTTAAGTTTATGGCGTATAGCTGGTAATCGTGTGGCCGGATGGCAGCCAGAAGCATGTGAAGCTCGAGTGGAAGCAACTAGATAAATTAATGATAGTAGATTGCTGTGAAAGATGTTGGCCACACTTTGCGTGTCGCCAGAGGGAAAGAACTCGTCCCAGGTCTTGTGGCGCAATGAGATTGCAAAGGCTGCAAGAATAACAGGAGAAAATATCGAAGGGTTTAAGGGGGAAGAGCAGGAGAACGTGGAGTACTCGGCCAGCTGCAAATTACAATACAGTGGTCACTGTCAGGAAATATGTGGCTAACAACAGCGGCGGGACACAGATAGCCGTTTAAAACAGCAATGTCCAGGTTGTGAGCTCCGCGTGTTGGTTGCCTTACAAGCTGGGACCAGCTTTCGACATTAAGTTGGGCAAACAGAGGCGAAACGCGCAAAGGAGAATTTCGTTGGGACCAGGAAATCTCAGGAAGGATGAGATCCCCTACAATTAGATTGTTTGGGTGGGATGGAGCTTGAGTGAGAATATGAAGCGCAGCCAGACGAAGAATCGAGCTAGTGGAATGTGGTGGGGCATGTAAAATCACCCGGAAATAAGCGGCGGATTTGCCCGACAAGCATAAAACCAAACAGAGTCTGAAGTGTCCGCCAGGAGTGGATCGTCAATAATAGAGACTGCTATTCCAGCATCAGAGTGCATGAGGCAGCTAGGTCCACGGCGGTAGGAACGATCAAAACGAAGGATAGTGTGTCCCGAAAGGGAGACGAGGCCCTCAGGCGTACTCAATTAAAATTTACAATACTCCATGTCCATTCGGGATGCCCAATCAAGCCTCTGCTCTAATGCTAACTTGCACTCGGCCCCGCGTAATCTACCAGCAGAATATACCTGGGATGTGCTCGCTCGCAAGTTCTCAACCACCACGTGAACCTCTAATCGGCGTGCATGCTAGAAGATCGCGCACACTGTCTTCAAATTGCGGTCCATGAATCTCACAGGTAGGAGAGCGTGATGATTAAAACCACGATATGTGTGCTCGGAGGTCCTGGAAATGAGCATGGAGTGGATAGAAACATATCCCTCCCATAAAATTTATCACTTCAGGGACGTCTCCAACTGCTCTGAATACCAAATCTCCGCCGCGCTTGCTCCGAATCTGACATAGCCAACCCTACCCGCCCATAAAATACGTAGTTCGCCAATGCATGCCCGTACTATATCCCGCACCTCTAGGTAACTTACCATCTTGCAACATTCCATACCCATTCAGGATGCCCCATCAAGCCTCTCCTCTAATACGGAGGGAACATAGCAGCTTACGAATTAAGAGTTTCGGTATTCCACAAAGTTAGCAGGGTCAAACGCAGGATTCTCGTCAGCGGCCACAATATTTGGAACTGCAGCTGAATTTTAGGGGCAACACCGCGTAATCTAGCAGCAAAATATACCTGGAATGTGCCCGCGCCGTCATCTCGGACTTGGAAACAAAACCAGTTGGTGTTCCATCACCAGTTCCGTAAACCCGTGTTATTGGCTTAACCGTAGCCCGATGATGGACATGAGATAACAGATTTTCACGAACATGACCACTTGAGCCTCTAGCAATGAGATGGCACCCAGGCATGGGCCGAAGCGGCATGGGCCTGAAATGTGCGAGCCACGCGGTCACCAAGTAGACCAAATCCTGTACAGGTGTGTGGATCTTATAGATCTCTGTTAGAAACCATACCGGGGTGCAAGTGAGCATATTTTGTAAGTATATAATTTCCTTCGCCGTCGGGAAAGATAGGACTTTATGTTACTTATATTCGCGAAATTGACGGGGATCGAACCAAACCAAACGATTTTGTGGTTTTCTCCTGTACTCCATTCTGAGGCGGAAATTTATCAGAGCGCACCATGCTAACTTGTAGGTCCTTCCGCCTTGATGCATTCCTCTCTACCACTTCAAAGGTATTTGGAATCTATTTGAAATGCGACATTCATGGGAAGGATTTTAGTCATCCGCCGCTTATTATAACGTGTCTAACACCCTGGAACCCGGGACGCTTATCCAATGGTTCGGAAATGAACCCCGTGCCAGCTAGCGAGCAGCGGCTTTAAGTTGCTTGGGAATCTGTTGACACGGTTTTATCACAGCAACCTGAATACCTGCCGTCTCAAATATAATCGTGTTTATAGTAACTTGTCCTGAGAAAACGGAGACGGAATCATGTCGGATGATGGGATTTTTGGACTCCACAATCCGAAACCCGAATCACGAGGAATTGAAGGCGACTGCTGCAAGGCGACACAGAACCCTTTTCAACGGACTCTCCGAACCACTATTGGTACAACTAAAGTTTCTTTCCGGATGGCCACAGTAGGAGTACCTGAGGGTTCCTTTCTGGTACAATCAATTCTAACAAACAACAGGAACCTTTCGGACGTTGTGACACAAAAGCTTTCCTCTGCTTTGATGAGTTACAATCCAAGTTTCCGTCGCTCAATGCTAATATGAGACCCAAATCGGCGACCTACTGACCCCTTATACGAGATTTGTGCTTCCCGCCCGTGTGCGAACCGAATGGATCTACTAACTGCAGCTGTGGGCAAAACTGAACGATCGACCTTGTTGTGACCTTGTCGCGGCAACTCGGGACAAGATAGTTTAAAAGCGATGGGCGAAGACTCGTCTTCGTGCTACCTGAATTCCTTTGCGCGATGCTCGCTGTCTCGTTGCTCATTCTTTCTTGGGGTTGTTGCATGGTATGCTCCGATCCACTACCTGTCCCATGGAGGAGATTGACGCTTGTTGGAAAACTGGGCTCATGGAAAGGAGACGGTTCATCGTACCCATCGGACTCATCACGCTTAGAAAAGATTTATGGGGCTGAGTGGAATTCTACCTTAAACAATATGTGGCAGACGTTTATGACAAAGTACAGGAGGGTATACCGCAGCAAGTATGAGGAAGAACAAAGACTCGGGATTTTCACTGAAAACTTCATCAGAATTAGCGAACACAATGTACTCTTCGAGAATGGCCAAGTCACTTACTCTATGGGCATAAATGAATTCAGCGATAAAGTAATTTTTATTATTTCGCTAATTAACACTTTCAGACCCGCAGCGAGTTGGCTGTATTGCGCGGCTTTCGCCATAGTGTCGAAACTCCGAGGTCGGGGTCGCCGTACATCCCTCTTAACGTATCACCGCCCTCGGAGATCGACTGGCGCACGAAAGGCGCTGTTACTCCGGTGAAAAATCAGGGCAATTGCGGATCGTGTTGGGCGTTCTCTGCTACTGGTGGAATAGAGGGTCAGCACTTCATGGCAACGGGTCAACTTGTCAGCCTTTCAGAACAGCAGCTTGTTGACTGCAGTAGTCGCAACCACGGATGCAATGGCGGTCTGATGGACCTCGCGTTTGAGTATGTGAAGGAGTCTAAGGGAATAGACACGGAACTCCACTACCCCTACGTTTCTGGTACTACTGGTTATGCTAAGCAGTGCAGTTTCGATGCCAAGTATGCTGCTGTAAATGTCACCGGATACATCGACATACCAGAAGGCAAGGAGCTTCTTCTGCAGCAGGCTGTTGGAATTCACGGCCCCGTATCCGTAGCAATCAACGCTGGGCGCTCTAGCTTTTGGGCCTATGAGTCAGGTGGGTGTCGTATTTCAGTTCGGTTTCAAATGCGAACATTCCTTGCTCGACGTTTGGTTAGTATGTCTATGATTTTTTGTGTGGTAGGATTTTGTTCGAAAATTTCGTACCCGGTGTCGGTCTGTTTGGTTATTCCGTCTGACGCAAGTCGATATTTTGTCAGTGGTAATGACAGGATGCAGTTCTAGGTAAGCTCTGAAATGAGACGAATCGCAGCAGTTTCAAAGAGCTCACTGGGCTGGATATATGTTTTTGAAATTCTCAGGCAACTAAGCAAGAATGCATCTTTCATCAAAGCCATCAGCTAACCTGACGCAAACAACGGTGCGCTCTTTCACCTATTCACATACAATTTCGATTGAAACGGAAAGCGAAATGTGTAATGGATAAGCAACGGCGACTTTCGTATGGTTCCACAATGCGATAACGGGCGCTGCTGTGCGTGCTCGGTGAGTTGGGCTTATTAGTTTGCAAATACGTGATTGTAATTGGAAAATATTTCAGCAAGTCACTTATTTGTATGGCATAACCTCGTCTCATGGGACGGGAAGTTTGCGCTCATTCAACGTAGAGAAGGCTGCGTACACTGCGAAATCTGGAGAGCATTGGCAGTACGCGCTTCGTGACATGGATGTTTGTGCAGAAGGGGCTTTCTAGAGCCAAACGCATACCCCACATAGATGGGTGGGTAAGTGTATCGTTACTATCTTCTGATGGGGCTGTATTCACAAAGCGGTCGCAGTTAACACTAAGCATGAACGTTTCACGCCGTCTGTGTTACGGAGTAAATAGTCTACATAACGTTTGGCTGCACCCGCGGACTTCATTACGCAGATCGCTCTTACGATCTTTCGAAATTATCCGACGAAATTCAAGTCATCATAGTTCAAGAGGATCATTTCACCTTCTAAGTACTCAAAAAACAGAACACTATGAGATTGCGCGTACATATCTTAACAGAATAGACCGGTTTTTTATATCCCTGACAGAATACGGTTTCTTCCATGGAATTTAATTGACCTGCGATTGATTGAGTTTATTCTGTTTTCAAATGCACCCCGCCTGAGTTTGCGAAAGTGCTGGTCTGTCATATTTGTTTTAGTGCTCATGCCCTTGTCACGTGAAATCAAATAGTTCGTTTCCTCAGCAATTTGGTTTTATCCTTCCATGCACTTTTCCCATTTTAGGTATATATTCTGATAATCTTTGTGACTCGTACGATTTGGATCACGGCGTCCTGGTTGTTGGCTACGGGGTGGAAGATGGAGTTCCATACTGGTTAATAAAAAACAGTTGGGGCTCGGATTGGGGAGAAAATGGCTACATAAGGATCCTGCGTAATTACAACAACCTCTGTGGTGTTGCTACGGCGGCTTCCTACCCTGTCATGTAATTGTCTGACTCAATACTCACTTCTGTGTTGGCCGCTTCTTTTCTATGTGCTCTCTAACGAGCAAAATCAATTTCGTATCCCTTTGTCTTGTATCCATTTCGGTTTGTCCCGACGTGTAAGCCAAGTATTTCGTTTTTTTCCAAATTCTGTTTGGACACGATTGAATCTTGTTATTTCTAGACTTTTTTGTTTAGATGCAATTAATAAACGACTTTGCTGCACCTTTCTGTTGCGTTTACTTTAGTCATTTGGTTGCAGTCATTATTATGTACACTAATCTAGTGGTGTGTCGCCGTTGTGCGAAACACCCATCGAACTGAATTTAGTATGTGATGTTTCACACGGAGCCTCAGATTCGAGCGTAACTGTGTCGTGAGTCGGCAATGCGTGATCATTTAGCTTTAGATACGTGCTTCTCTCTTACGTCACTGGGCAAGCTTGAGGTTTCAGGGAGACTTTCTATGTTTGTGACCATGCTGTTCAAAAATAGATGACATTATTATTATAGATGACCAATCGATCCAGTCAACAGACCAGCCTAAACATCATGGTCCTTTTTGTCAGTGTCAGGTCTCCAAATTGAAAAAACGACGAGCCTTAAACAATCAGGAGGAATGGCTCAATAGCTTTATGTTGAAAACACGCTACTTTCTGTTCACCCACTTGTACCTCTCTGGGTCACTCATGTCCTTGACCACGCAGTCAGGATTAGGATAGGCGCAATGTGTGTCATCCTGAGTGTCTATCATGGTTGTACAACCATGTACACCATGTAATTGATGAGTCTGTTTGCCTGTTGTTATTTGAGCCCACATTGTACTTCGTGTATGCTCCTGCAGTATCTGTGGTCATAGGCTTATGTCTTAAAGGGAAAGGCAAACGCTTTTTCACGATTCATATGATCTGAAACTGTTAACCGTTAAGGTGGTTGTACTTTTACCTTCCAGTGATCGCTTGTGTTGTTTGCTGTTGAAACCGTCAGCGTATTCTCCAACAGCATAATATCTTAATCTGGGTTGGAGCCAACTCTTTAGTGCGGGTATTCGGCAACTAAAACCGGGCACCGTAACCATTTGACGCAGCTTTATTCAGCTTGACAGGTAGTCTCCGCTTTGTGAAAGAAAATGATAAAATGCTGCTCCTGTTGAGTACATTCAGCTAAATATTTTGAAAGTCTTTCCGAAACGCACCTCTACGAACTTCTCGAGGTAGTTTCTGTAGGCGCCTGGGTAACACCACAAATGACGACGTGTCATTCCCTCTTGTAGTGTCCAAAAGGTAGATTCCTAGGTAACCAGCTACTGGGCGTACCGCTTCCTTTTATATTATTTCCCCCTCAGGTTAGATCCCATTGACTTAGGTGTCAGGAATACCGATTAGCTGCCAACCGTGAAATTGTGTCAGGGTATGGATGTAATGAGTGCGTGTCACGAGTTAATGCGTGATAATCCTGACGCAAGTCTGGATATAACCATTTATTTACCAAAGAATATGTCATACCTATAAAGATCATTATCTTGTAAACCGAATTAAGGATAGAAATGCGTTGAGCAATAGGACTGAATATTGTACTTTGTTGGTTATCATCCGTGTTTTTACTTAAAACCTGAATCATGTGGCCACAGATGCAGTTCTACATAGGTAACATGTAGTATCAAATCAAACTGATCAAACAGCACCCTACGGACTACGCAGATGTACATGCGGTTATGATAGTTAACATAACAAGGGTAATACATTCATTTGAAATAGCAATATAAACGTTTGAATGTCGCACTAATCCCTCGGTTAATCGAACGAGCACCGTAAGATTATAAAAATCAGCATTATAATAATGAATGACCTGAATATGTGTTAACCTCCTTGCCGCAAGTGAATGTGTCCTGTTGAGGTAGGGGGATCGTTCTATGTCTAAGGCTTGGGGTTTGAAGTTTATTGACTTTCGACTGCTGAAGAACCAAAAAGATATTTTACTTAAGATTCCTGTGACAGATGATGTGAAAGGCGCAATGTAAAACAGCTAAGATGGCTTATCTTGTTAGTCACTTGTGAAATTGTTTGTTCGTAAGATAACGCAGCGATCCCGTGGTTACTGGGAGTAACTGTTGTGTATACAGCATTGATGTGGATTCATAGCCCTTTTCTGGGCCTGAAAGGCTACTTGACGCATGCAAGTTATTTTATAGTGAGTTAACTTTGCATATGTTTGCATAGGTTTAATAATTCTCACTAATTTCTTGCAGCAATTAGGAATATTGTGGAGATGTGCCTTTTCCATTATAGTTTTGATTTTGTTGTTGGTGTTCAAAGAGACACACTAAAGTTAGTTGTATTCGCTCGAAAGCGGGAAGAAATCTCCTTGCGCCAAAATGTATGACGTTAATTTATCCTGCACTATTGGGCTGCAACCCAAAGCTTCATCTTTGTGAATGCCCTAACAACATTATCCGGCTCATATTTATTTATTCAATTTGTCAACCACCAACATATATTCACTTGCCGAGTACCGAGTGGAATACACGCCATGCCAGCCGAAACCACAACGCGTCCCTAATTGTAAGAAATCCAGATGATTTAACAAGAGTCCGGTCCCTTATTTAAACTTCAATATATCCTCTAATTTGACTAAGGTAAAATGATCTCAAGGCACAGTAACAGACATTGACATGTTACTCCGTGTTAGGTTAGGCTGACGTTCTTACCCAACATTGGTAACTTACTGGCCTGTGTGACTTTGCCTGCTTAACTAAGGAACGAAACTTGACGAAGTTCACCAGTCGCCAGAACCGTGGTACGAGACATTTAGACAAAGTGGCTCTGAATAAGGCATGGGCCTCTTACCAAAAATTGGGAAATAAGCATGGATGCATAGGTCATTAGCAGTTACGTTGAATGTAAATTTTCGCCATTTAATCTCACATCAGACCCAGTATGACGGACACTTTGTGCCTGATGTGCGAGTCTCGACTGTGCTCCCGCCTACCGCGCCTTGAATAGCATTCACCGTTGTTTGTCCTTTCTTTGGTTGTTGGTCTTAGACGCGTGTTTCCATATCAAAATCTTTACATACTTTGGGATTCACCTCATCAGACTGGAACTGTTCTTGGCATGGTTTCCAATGAGTCGTTTCTCTCTTTTCACCCATATTCTCCTGTTACACTTTCGCATTCATTGCTTGCATCCACTTTTTATGTTTGTGACCATGCTCTTCAAAAACATGACAATAGTAGAGGTAGTATGAATTACTATTGGAAATACCCCTAATGAATGCATTGGGGCGCATTCTGAGGTATATAACAGCTAGAATAGTGACGTAGAACTGCCGCTTGCACAACCCTAGAGTTACACCGCATGCTGCCATAGGCGATATAGTTGAAGGCAGACAGATTTTGCATAGATAAATGGTGATAACCCACTACTTATGCATTTACGCATCCACCCCTTACCAGACAGACGGCAATCGATATGTTCGTTCAGCTGAGAATCATTCGATAATGTTGCACGTGAGTATTTAAACCAAAATTGTAGCTTTACAATCGTTATAGAAGCCACGGGGCATTCTATTTGTTCATAAACCACTGCGAAATTAAGTGGAGCATCAA